AATCATAAATATAATTAGTATTTTACAATTGGATCACACATTCTTTACAGTAAAAGAAAACCATTCCAACCAACAAGACCTTTAAAAATTACCATTTTCACCTGTCCGCAAATATATGCTTAAAATTCTCGTAATGTTAAGAAATATTATCTTTTTCAAAATACAGTTGAATTTAGTTTACTAACAATAATGTTATTAAATTATTCTTAAATTAAACTTAAACTTAATTTGTATTATAATGCTAAACTCTAATATGGTAAAATTTATTTATATTACTATGGCAATACTTGTATGATTTGAAAGCTTGTTAAGAAACATAACCGAATTTTGCAATAAAGGAAGACTTTGAAGAAGGCTTGCATAATGTTTGTGAATTTTTTTAAGTCAACTTCGAACTCCTTATATTAAGGAAGTATTGGGAAATTGCAAAAGTTATATGCATGCATGGAGTCTTACTTTCCAAAGGTCATTATCACAAAACATTATGTTGTACACTTTACAAACTATGACCACAATGGATTGTAATTCCAGTAGTGTCAAATCATCTCTTGATATTGATTATTTAAGACAAATAACATTATCTAATGAATATATTTCTATGTTAATCTTTTAATTTAATATGCTTCTATTCATAATTAAACATTAAAAATGACACTTACGTGATTGATTGCCAACAAATGACATTATTAATTTTAATAATATTTTAAAAACATATTATTTGATATAGATGGAAGCATTCCTTCTCATTTAACTTTTGAAACTGTAATGCAGTTAAATCACCACTGTCTTATTCATTCACACCAATAACATATGACACGCTTCTCCAAATGAATACAGAAGATGGCCAGTAATATAACATGCAACATTATCATCTTCTGCAACATTATTTAACAAATCAAATTCAATCAAAAATCGCGATAAAAGATTTTAAGAGCTCAATTGTTATAATTGTATAAATACATATAGATGGACCAATAACATAACATGCAAGATTTCTTCCCATTCAATATCATCTCTCTCCAATAACATAACATGCAGCATATATACTTAGTAGTAATTAACACACCCTTAAATTTCCTTTCTTCATTTTAATATTTTAAAACCATCATCACATTTTTTTTAAAATTATTCTGTTACATATTACTTTTAAGTATTTGGACAACAAGACAATCTTTTAGAAAGTAACACTATACAAATTTATTAAATAACAATTAGTTTAGAAAAAAATTTAATCGTAATATTAAATAAATTAGATATTTTATAAACAAAAAAATATTAATTTCTAAAATAATGTTTGTCCTCCCCATTCCAACATACATAAGCTTTTTTAATATGAAACTCTCACACCTACGTCTATTAATAGTAATATCCATGTATCGTAGTTAATTTCGACGGTTTGATATTATGATGAGATATCATTGTGTTATTATTAAATACACTTGTATTATATAATTGAGGTAAACATTATTCCAAAAATAACATAGGTCCATAACATATATGTTGATCCTAGAAATACAATTTTTTATTTTTTAAGGAATACTCACTTCATAATTACACATATTCATTATATTTATAAAGATTCTAAACTCTCTTATTGATTTAACTATTAGAAAGTATTTTGCATATGGATCACATTCTTTCTATAGCAAAGAATCTCATGCAAAAGTCCTAAAAACTACCGTTATCAAATTCATGCTCAAGATTTTGGTAAGATGAGTCTATATTACTAATATTGAACAATGTTATTCCTTTTCAAAATATAGGTGAATTTAATTTACTATGAATAAAAATAAATAAGTTACAAAATTTATTTTATTATTATAGATATTATTTAATTAATAAAATTGATTTAAGTAAATAAATTAAAGTTAGAAGACGAAAAGTATTTTAATAATTTGATTTAAATTTATTGTGATTTAAGTAAACAAATTAAAGTTAAAAGACGAAAAACATTTTAATAATTTGATTTAAATTTATTGTGATTTTTTTTCATAAATATAAATGTTGTATATTTTGTTTTGTTCCACTACAAATAAATAAGAGATGAGAGTTTGATAGTAACAAAATATTAACAAATGATATCAGACGAGAATTTAATACACATAGTAATTTCGAGAGAGAATAAGTTGGATATTTTAGCATATGGGGTGATACAAAATATATTAGCTTTTGTGCTCATAGTGTATCATCTGTTTAAAGAAACAATGTCATATTTCGTGTGGATTAAAATGTTGGCATTTGAATAGTTCTTGATACTTGTATTTCAAACTCACATCTCTCTCTATATAAACTATTACGCTCTTCAAAAGTAGTTTTTAAAAGGTATTTTGAAATGAAAAAGAAACTAAAATTAATGCTTCAGGGATTTAATTTTAATTAATTAAAGTTTTTCAAAAATTATTTTAAAGTAATTATTATAAAAGTTAATAACTCTATAATGTGTGACATTCTGTAATTTTTTTTTTTAAAATGAAAGATCATACAAAGTATATGAGGAAAGTAATAACATTGGAGCCTTTTAATGAGCATCCCTGTTTGGCTAAAAATTATAAAAGGATAAATATCGACCTTTATATATTTTCGGATTACATTAAAAATGATGCACAATCTATATGTTCAGATATCTTAAGGTAAGATATTGACATTTACCTTGATGATGAGACACGTAAGATTATATAATTTGTATTCTATCTCAACTGTTTTTTTTACTTACTTTCAATTTTAATAATAATACTTTTATATCAATTGATAGTAATTTTCATTTTAATATTTCCTTTACAGTTAAGCGAGATCAATAAAAAATATTAAGTGTAAAAATTATTTAAAGTTTAATTCTAACTTTATTATTTTTATTCAGATATATAGAATTAAAGTTGTGGAAGAAATGAATATGTTTGGTATTTAAATCAATGTATTAATAATTGAAAAAAAATAATATCAACTCACACTGACACGGTTTTTTTTTTATAGTCATACGCAGGCTTTTTTTTTTCTCATAAGTGGGTTAGTTTTGTTTTGGAAATTAGAGATCGGAGTTTGATTTTAAATTTGTTATTGGAAGAGTTCTTTTGAAGAATTCATTAAAATTAAAGCTTTTTAATAATAATGAAGTCGTTTTTTGTATTTGGCGACTTATGCCAGATAAAACTTAATTTATATGAATTAACATTAAAATAATTACGTTAAAGTAAAATTATAACTAAATTTTGGCGATTTCAACTTAAATTATTAAAGTTATAAAATATATTTGTAATTTCTCATAAAGATAATCTTCAACTTAAATCATATTATTATTTGACCAATTTTATTGAATGATAATAACTTTAATCTAATTTTAATTTTAACTGAAGTCGTGTCACATGTTAATTACTTGTGTGTAAAAAAATTTGGACTAAAGATTGACGAAAACAAACATAAAGACACTGATTCCTATATAGTAGAAGATATCATTAGTTGGTTTTTGATAAGTTTAAAGAATAATTTTGATGTATTATTTTAAAGAATAATGTAATATATATATATATATATATATATATATAATTCTTCATAATCACATCTGCACAAATTATAATAATACTTAAATTATAATTAACACAATATTTAATTGTCTAATATTTGCTAATAAAATATTTTACACACAAATGAATTGTGTACCCTTCTATTACCAATGATGAAGGAATGTTTGTATTAAGATTTCTATCTTTAACTTTGTTTTTATTGTAATGAACTTTCTTATTATTTTCATGAACTATCTTCCACTAATTCAAAACTAATTAAGAATTAAATATGCAAAATTAGTTGAAACTTTCTTTGAATTATTTTAAAGTTGATGTTCAACTCAATATTTTTTTTAAATACCATTAATACTAAAGTCTCTAGAGACATTAATGACTTTAGTTGAATTATTTTAAAGTTGAAGTCGTCATTATTGTAACTATTTTAGTTCAAAAAATTTTACTCAAAAATCATCATCATATATCACGACTTTAGTTGAAATTGAATTTAGGTCGAACTCGTCAATATTAAGTACAACTTCAATTTAGTCAAAATCGTCAAATGTTAAATACTATACAATTTCAGTTGAACATTATCTTCAAAAAAAATTGTCAAAAACTTTCACAATTATAATAATTTAGGTTGACATAGTCAAATCTAAATATAACTTTACTTGAACATGATTATTTTGAGGTTAATTCGGGATTAATGAAGCTTAATCTTGTACAAGTAGTCAAACACAACAACGATTGTAATATTATTAAGAAGTTCTGTATTTGACAATTTTCTCAAAACAAAATCATGCCCACGAGATATGATTTTAGCCCTCAAAACCCTGTAATTTCGAAAATAAATAAACGCACGTATGAAAGAAAAAAAACTGTCATATGCGTATGGCTTTTCTTTTAGATGTAATTACACTTTGACATTACAAGACTTTATAAATGTTTTTTTATCAGTATATATATATATATATATATATATATATATATATATATATATGTGTGTGTGTGTGTGTGTGTAATATACACATACTATCTCTATACACTTATCCAAAGTGTTATAATTAGTACATACATATTATATATATACTTCTCCAAAGTGTTATAATTAATTTATATCCTCATATTTTTTTAAAGTATAGGTTGCAACATATTTTAATTGTTAAAAAAATTGTAAATAAACTAAAAGTACATTTATATTACCTTTTAATCTAAATTTTTAATTGGTAGAAACACAAGTGGAAGATATAAAGCATATTTATTTGAGAAATTTCATAAATATTGCAGTGGAATTCATCTTATTGAAAAGGAGATGTAATTATATTAGCAATCCATTTTGACTTGATATGTTCATATATAATCATGAATTGCTTTCAAAGACCAACAAACACATAAAGTGCATTATGGTTGCGAGTTGAAGCAAAGAAATTGAAGAACTCTCCAAAATTAAGTGGACGATAACGAAGAGGATGAATTTTGTCATCTACCAACTCACCAGGCACCTCAATCTTCATCTCGTCCGTTGCTCCATGCCTATTCATTCATTAACGTAACATAACTATAATTATTCAATACATATATAACGACAATTTCAATTAATTAATTTTGTGCATATATACCTTCAATGCATCACCAACAATAACCACAAAGCAATTCTGAGGTATTTCTACGTCAACCCATTTGCCTGATCTCGATAGCATCTGCAAACCCTGAACTTCATTTTGGCACAAAACGGTTAAGGTGTCTTTGTCAGTGTGACCATTAGAGGCACCCTTGTTTGCATCAGTATTGTACATGTTCAATCGTATCTGGGTACAACTCTTCATGTTTTCAACATCTGAAATGTAATGTTGGGGAAGGCCATAACCCTCCACAATCATTTTCAAGGCCAGTAAGCTTATTTCTGTCATCTTTAAGCTCATACCCTTCAATATCTCACTGCATGCAATCAAAATAATACATTAAACAAGGTGATTTATACGTGTGTGATCTCTTAAAGAGTAACGGAACAACAACAAGGTCTTAAGTTATGATAATTTAGCTGAATACTAGGAAGGATCCGACATGAATTGAATGAACAATACCAAAAATTTGGGTTTCCTTGAGGCCACCTGAGGTTGGTGAAGGTCTCAACTGATGTTGAGAGAAGAACATCATCGATTGAAAAGCATTCATAGGCAGTGTTCATATACTTATGGACGCGGAAGCTACTGAAAGGCTTTGGACTTATGTGTTGTTGCTTTGACACTCTTAGCTCTTCAATGGAGTTGACCCCATCATCACACCTCAAGAGGAAGAAACCATGACTCTCACATGCCATCTCCTTCCACTCCTCACTTCCTTCCTCTCTCTTTCTCCTTCTTGCTGTCTATTTCTCTCTGTTATGTAGGGATCTAGATGGTGACATAGTTAATATAGTGTAACGATAAGAGAGGAAGATATTAATAAACAAGTTTTGATAGAACGGAAAAACCATTTGTCAACACTCAATTTCGTCTGAATAAACTAATAAAATAAAAATTAAAAATAAAGGTAAAAAAAACAAAAAATAAGAGAATAATAATTAATGGTGAGTAAAAAAAAACAAATCTCAACACTTAATTTCGTCCGGGTAAGTTAATAAAATAAAAATAAAAAAAACAAAAAGTAAGAGAATAATAATTAATGGTGAGTAAAGAAAAAAAAAGGAAAAAGAAAATAATAAAATAATTTTCCTTAATGGAGGACACATTAAATCAATATTATACCAATAATTATAAGCAATAATAAAAACTAACACTACAAGAATAATTGAGATTACCGACGGTCATAATTCGTCGGTAATGTATAAAATCCGTCGGTAATTAACATTTACCGACGGCTTACCGACGGCCAACATACCGTCGGTAAAAACGTTGTCGGTAAACTTTACCGACGGATCTTTTGTCCGTCAGTAATTACCGAAGGCTTTTGGCCGTCGGTAAAGCCTTCGGTAATTACCGAAGGCCCTAGGCCTTCGGTAAATCCGTCGGTAAATGTCGCGACCTGGTTCATCTTCTTCCTCTTCCTTCGTCACTGTGTTAATTTTTTTTTTCATTTCCACGAACTCTACCACCAAAACGGCATCACGCGAATAACCATAGGGAATCATGGAGAGTTGAGCTCGCCGAAAAAGTTTAGGACCGGTGATGTTGTGTCATTTTATCACAGAGAGTTGAGCTCGCCGGAAAAATTTAGGACCGGTGATGTTGTGTCAATTTATCATGGAGAGTTGAGCTCGCCGGAAAAGTTTAGCACCGGTGATGTTCCTAATGAACTCTACAACAACCCACCAAAAAACTTGAGCATGCCGAAAAAGTGAAGCTCGCCGGAAAAGTTAAGAGCATCCCGTGATGGTGGAGACTATCCTGCGATGGTGGAGAGCAACCAACAATGGTAGAGAGTTGAAGCCACAAGACGGTGGAGAGCAACCAGAAATGAGTAGTGGTGGTGTGAAACTGAGTTGGTAATGAAAATGAGGAGTAATGGGCGTCTTTGCCACATATATTGACGCTGGGGGCAGAATTTGGGCGGGAAAATTCCCGCTCTTTTTACCGACGGCCAAAAGCCTTCGGTAAATCCGTCGGTAATGTCGGTAAGTGAAATAATGGGCGGGAAAATTCCCGCTTTTTTACATTACCATTACCGACGAATTTACCGAAGGTTTTTGGCCGTCGGTAATGTGTATGTCATTTACCGACGGAGTTACCGAAGACTTGCGGCCGTCGGTAATGTGTATGCCAATTATCGACGGAATTATCGAAGGCTTTTGGCCGTCGGTAATACGTATGTCAGTTACCGACTGAATTATCGAAGGCTTTTGGCCGTCAGTAAATAAAATTCAAAATCCGTCGGTAATGCCGTCGGTAATGAAAATTTACCGACGGAAATATATCCGTCCGTAAAAATCCGTCGGTATTATTAAAAAATTTTGTAGTGTAATATATTTGCTACATGTCAGTTGGTTTTTAAAGAGAAAAATATATTTTCTGACTATAATTATAATTAATGACTTGAATATTATTTGATTTGTTTTCTTCCAACGAAGACTATTTTTTCCCTATTTTGTTCATTGTCAATTAATTCACAATCAAGGTCAGATTTCCATAATATTACAATATGTATATAAATATGCATCCTGTCATAGAAAAAGGGGGACGAAAAAAAAAAGAGAGAAACATGCATAAATAATACAAATAGAAAGAGAGAAATAGAGTATAGAGGAAAATAGGTTCTCACACATAACTGTTCTGTCAACTACAACCACCAAGGAAGAACTAGGGGAATACCGAAAGCTAAAAGGTTATGTCGTCTCTACACCATTCTTTTTCTCTTTTTATTGCACTTTGAAGTTTTTTCTAAAAGGTATTATTTTTTATAACACACAAATAACAATTTTTTAAAATCATAAAATAAATGGTACGCGTCGGCCTATGGCCGGTTTCTTTCTTTTTCCCACCATTCTTAAAATAAAAAAAAAACACAAAATATTTAAAACAAAAAAAAATGTCAATTTTGTTAAACTAAACTTTTTTTTACCAGAACTACGTGATCCCTGATTTTTCATCATGAATGGAGATACGTAGGAGCAAGGTCAATCCTTGTCGGGTTCACTTCTCAAAAATCCAAAATAATCCATAATAAGTTTTAAACAAACTCACAAACCTTTTTCTACCTAAAGAACTATTTGCTTGTCCTCAAGCAAAGAGAATTCAACTAACACATACTGATAATGCACACAGAATGATTAATGAATTTAAATGGAAATATACCCTCTTATCTCAAGTTCAATTCAAACAATGATATTCCTCAAGCACACACTTCACAGTGTTTTTAGAATGATGACTAACTTATTGGGTCCCTAAGTGCAATTACTTAGTTGAGGTATGACACTAGACATCAAGGCAGATAATATTTGGAATTTTATTTTCTCTTGAAAAAAAAAATTCTATTAGGTTCCTCACTTAGAAGACACTTGCCTGCCAACTAAGCATGGATCTTCCACTCAATTTTTTTTTTACTTGCCACACTCAGTCTCAAAGGAGTGTCTCTTCCCCAGTAACATATAGTCTCAAAGGGGTGTCAATTTTATTCACTCAATATATATTTTTCAATCTTTTAATTTTTTATTTATTTATTTTTTTACAGACAAATCTCCAGTAACCAAGTGTAGTGAGTGTTACCACAGAAATCTAAAAAAAAAATATTTTCTATCTTATTTATGTACCTCTCAAAAATTATCTTCCTTAAGTGTCACAGTGTCAAATCTCACTGTGTCGTGTGTGAAGTTTCCCAACAAGCAATCAGAAATATATAATCATAGTGTGCTTAAAAAAATGTCATTATACAAACATAGACTCAGAGTTAAGATGAAACATTTCCATTTAAACATGAGATGCAATATGTAAATGTAAAAATGATGTAAGATGTCATGCACAAGAACACCCCAAGCCTAAATATTTACATGGTCCACAATGTATAGAAAGTAAAAAGTGTAGGGGCTACAACTCACAAGATTACTGATGACGAGAGCGGAGCATGGTGAAAACTTCTTGCAAGAGTTGTTCCACATTGTTTTAATGGAGAAGTTGAGTATCCCGAAACTATATAAACTCTTGATAATGTTGGAGTTGTTGAGTTTGGAGTTCATTAAGGGTATAGAAACAAAAGGAATTTGAGAGGAGGGTCTTCTTCTCTCTCTCTCTTTTTTTTTGAAAACATAAAAACTATTGATAGTCATTTCCATGTGGTGATGTGAATGAGCTCCTTTCTTGGGTACAACATGAACAAGACTCACCCATTCACTATTAGAAATTGGATAGATAATTCCCGCATCTAATAGTTTAATTACCTCTTTCCTTACCACTTCCTTGATAATGGGGTTGAGCCTTCTTTGTGGTTAATGCATAAGTTTAAAATGCTCTTCCAAATAAATTTTATCCATGCACACAGTAGGACTAATACCTTGCAAATCCTCAATTTTCCACCCTATGGCAAATTTATACTCTCTCAACACCTTTAAAAGTTTATCTTCCTCAATAGTAGTAAGTTCACTGCTCACAATTATGGGGTTAACCTTCTGCTCATCTAAGAACCTGTATTTAAGGTGAGAGGGAAGTTGTTTCAATTCTATCTTAGATGTATCTTCTTCTTTGTTCTCACTCTTGTGTAGGTCTTCTATCCCCCTTGTGGACTAATGGCTTGAGGAGTTCTAATTGATGAGCATACTTCACTACCTCTTCATCATTAATTTTTGTACTTAACTCTTTTGCTTCCATTCTTGACAGTAGAGCTCTATCTAATGTATTCTTCCTTAGATGGTAGTATACCTCCTCTAACACAAAAGACTCAATTATTTCAGCCTTGAAACAATCCTCTTTGTCCAATTTATGTTTCACTACTTCATTTATAGAGAATGTGACTTTTTCATCTCCTACTCTTAACATCAATTCACCTTGTTCCATTGGGACTTTAGCATCTTCCTCCATGTCAAGAACCACAAAATCAGATGGAAAGATAAATTTATCCACCTTCACTGAGACATCTTCCACAATTCCATAAGGATAAGTCATTGAACAATTTTCCAATTGTAGAGTTATCATAGTTGGCTTCACTTCTCCAATACCCAACCTTTTAAAAATGGACAAAGGCATCAAATTGATACTTGCTTCAAGGTTACACAATGCCTTACCCACTGTTATATTTCCAATCTCACATGGAATGACAAAGCTTCCTGAATCCTTCAACTTGGGAGGTAATTTTTGTTGAATTATTGCACTGCACCTGTGAGCATAATTGTTTCATCTTCTTGAAGTTTCCTTTTCTTAGACAATAAGTCTTTCATGAATTTAGCATAACTTAGCATTTGCTCCAATGCTTCAGCAAATGGAATATTAATGTGGAGCTTCTTAAAGACATCAAGAAATCTTGCAAATTGCTTCGCTTGTTCTTGCTTTTTCAACCTTTGAGGGAATGGAATTGTAGGAACATACCCACTCTCTTGATTTTTTTTCTCCCTCATTCTTCTCCTCACATTTTCTCTCAACTTCATTTTCTTCACTCTCTTCTACTGTTTCATCAACTCTTTTTTTTCCCTCGCTCCATCTCACTCCTTTTTTCATTCTCTAACACTCTTAGACTTCTCAATTGAATTGCCTTTCATTGTTTCCTTGGGTTTGGTATGGTGTCACTAGGAAATGTTCCAAGAGATCTCTTTGAGAGTTGTCTTGAAAGTTGACTAATTTGGTTCTCCAAATTTATGATGAAAGCTTCCTAGTTCTTGAAGTTAGTCCTTATCTCATTCATGAAATTAGAAGTCTGCTCCACAAAGGTAGAAGTTTGTAGAGTTAGCTTCTCTAATACATTTTCCAACGTAGACATCTTGTTTCCTTGATTGTTAGGTTGTGCTTGATATTGATATGGAGGCCTTGGTTGATTGGATTGGATTGGATTGGATTACTCCAAGGTCTAGTTGGTTGATGCCTCCAATTTGCATTAAGGCTGGTAGAAAACTGATTCTGTTGTTGTCCCACTACATTCACATGTGCCTCTTGTTGAGTGGCCTGACATTCACCATTCTGATCCATTCCTCCACAAAAATCACACATTGGAGATATTGTATTAACATTATTTGCTTGCATATTTCCCAACTTCTGAGTCAAATTAGTGATCTGCTGTGTTAACAACTTGTTTTGGGCTAGGATAGCATCCAAAGTATTAACTTCCAACACTCCAGTTTTTCTATTTTAGCGATCAAACTGCATATTCACTGTGTTATTTGCCATTAGCTCAAGTGTCTCCAAAGCTTCCTCTGGTATTTTCAGATTAAATGATCCTCCACTTGCTGCATCCAAAATTGCTTTAAAAGAGGGTGAAAGACCATTATAGAAAATTTGCACTTGCAACCATTCTGGTAGAGCATGATGTGGACACTTCCTCATTAGCTCCTTGTATCTTTCCCATGCCTCATATAAGGATTCGGTTTCTTGCTGCACAAAGGTAGTGATCTCATTTCTCATTTTAGCTGACTTTGATGGAGGGAAGTATTTGGTTACAAATTTTGTAGCCATATCCTCCCATGTAGAAATACTCCCTTGAGGTTGTGATTGAAGCCAGCTTTTGGATTTATCCCGTAGTGAAAAGGGAAAAAGTCTCAAGTGAATTGCATCATCTGAAACTCCATTAATCTTCAAGGTATCACAAATTGCCAGAAAATTCTCCAAATGAGAATTAGGGTCTTCTGATACTGCACCTCCGAATTGATTCTGTTGGATGACTTGTAACAATGCAGACTTGATTTCAAAGTTGTTGGCTTGAATAGGAGGTCTCACAATGCTCCCTTGGTAACTATTAGGATTTGACATAGAATAATCACGAAGAGTCTTTCTAATAGGTTGTTCTTCTACCATTGTTGATGTCTTCTCATCTTGCTAAATCCGTCTTTGTTCCTTTCTTCTTTCTCTCTTTCTCCTTCTTGCACTACTTCTGTTGTTTCTGGCAGTGCGTTCAATTTCTGAATCAAAAAGTAGATCTTCCGGAGCAACAGTACCTCGCATAAACAACTTAAAGACACAAAAACAGAACACACAAAAATTACACGACAACAAAATAAATGAACACAATTAAAAACGAAAAGCAAAATTTAGAAACGAATTTTTTTTCTCCTAAAATCTACAACTCAAATCTTAAGCCAATTAGATCACTAATATCAACTGAAATCAATCCCCGACAATGGCGCCAAAAACTTGATGCACGTTTGGCAAGTGTACCAATCATTATTGTAGTAATAAAATATCGTCCTCTGGGATTGAATGAGTTGAGTACTAGATTACTAATTCACGTAATTTTGAGCAATAAAAATATCAAGTTAAATGATGAACATAAATAAGTGATTGGAATTCAAATAATATAAACAATTTTAGAGAATTGATTTCATACGTTTTCATACAACTTCCTCCCCTTTTCAACTTGATGTGTGAATTGTAATTATCTACTTGAGTTTAGTAAGAACTTGTTTATCCGTAATTCCTTAGATAGATAAACTTATCTATTGAATTCGAACCCCCAATTCCTTAGGTCAGTTACAAAATTCAATAAAATCATGAAGAACAATTATTATCTCAATTGCAAACTAATTAGTTGTGCCCAATTTCCCAATTGTGACAACATCTAATCTGTTCTATTTATAATCGCAAAAATCCCTAATTTCCCAATTGTGAAACTGTTCATAGAATAGACATTAGAACTAAATAGAACACTGAGACAATTAAAATTAACAAAACATCAATTGAAAAGGTTTAGAAATTATAATCAAAAGTACTACATCAATCCTTTAACAAAAGAAAATTTAGCCCTGCATAATGTAAAAATTCAAATGCAAACCAAAAAGAAGAAGAATAAGTGTTGAAGCTTTTCCCTGCATCTCCCTGCATAATGTAATCCTTCCTTTTAATCCCCCTATTTAGGAGAGTGATTACTCTCTCTAAGTAACTGTCATTAATTTCTATTTAATTTAAATCTCTTTAAATCCACGTTATATAAGAGGTTAGTAACTGCTCTAAAAAATTCAACCGTTCATGAAAAAATCCACAATCTGCTTGTGCTCTTCTCTATTTTAATTTTGCACTTCCTAAAGCAAAATCCACAGGTTGTGGTAAAAACCGCAACTCACTTGTGGAACTCTCTGTTTTGTCTTCTATTCTTTGGAGCATAATCCACAGGTTGTGGAACTCTCTGTTTTGCATCTGCATTTTGTATATCAATTCATCCCAAGTTATGATTTTGACACTTAGAATCATCAATCTACAAGAAAAACACAGAATTTTTATGTATGATCCAAAACAAGGATAATGTATGATGAAATCATTCAATTGATGCAATTATATATGCAAATAACCATTTTATTCACACATCACAAAGGATAATGTTTTATATTGAATTTTTTTTATGACATCTATATATTCTAACATGTACAAACAAAAAACAATAATTCTTACAAATCGACCAGCTTTTGTATCACTGGTACCATCAATGGAAGTTCATCAATTATGTTACAGATATTGACAAAATGTGACCACCCCCATTTATGAGATGTGAATGAGAATTAGTTGCAGTGATGAATACATATATATAGATATGTGAATGTGATGAAGAAGTTGGTATTCTAAAAGGAGGTATATATAATAGTTGTTGTCATCGTAATAAACACAGTCATAAATGATTGAGACATAGCCATGCACTTCACCACAATTCTTCATATTTCCCATGTTCATTTTGTCTCCCATTCTATCTTTTAGGTTAACTTCATCTCCATCTACCTTTTCTCTCCTCCTTCTCACCTTACCTGTCATTTCATTCATCTCATCTTTCTATTTTATACTCAAATATACTGTATTGGTTTGAAAAAAATTTGAAAGGAAGTGGTATATGATTTAGAGAAATAACACTGTGATATAAATTTTTTACATTTATTTTATATTATTCTTTTTTACTTACTTTTTAAAAAAATAAAAAAAATTATTTCTTTTATGACTATTTTATTTTTGTAATATTTATCAAACATAAATGTATTTCATCTTATCATTGTTTTATTATTTATCAAGAATATTTCTTTACACCACCTTACCTGTCATGTATATGTATATAGAATATATAAAGTTTACAATTGTGATAATAAACTTTTAACTAAATTGATTGGATTTTTCTTTTCATAGTGTAAAGGTAATTTGGAAAACATGAATCATATTATTATTTATTGAATTATTAAAATTGAAAAAATTGAACATATGCGTCAGCCGGGAGTCGAACCCGGATCTATTGCTTGGAAGGCAATTATCCTAACCGTTGGACTACTGACGCTGCATTTTGTTATGATTTAATTCAAGTATTAATTTTATAATAATTTTATAATATATTTATAATATACAGGATTTATAATATATAGGCATTTCCACGGATGCATGGAATATGCTAAAGTAAAATTCCCTATTTAACTCAAATCAAATGCTTTGTTTAATAGATAACTAAATTAATATAAATACTCTTACGAATCTCCTTTTTATTAATTTTCATTCAGAAAAACATGTTGAAAAAAAATGACAAACATCAACTTATGATGTCCGACATCAGATGTTTTAGTCATAATTCAGTTATCATAACTTAGTTCAAACAAAAAAAGAAAGTACTAAAATGATTGCTTAGTTGAGAGTTTATAAAAAAAAAAGTCAAATTCAAAAGCCCTACTTTTTTGTTTTTGATATTTGTTCACAAAGAAAGTATTAGAGATTAAAGTGTTGATGAAAAATAAGTAAAAGTTTATGATTTTGAGTACAACACATGATCACATGCATGAAGGAAGTATAAAAAGCCTACTTGAATGAATTTGAGAGAGAATGATTAAATGAATTTGAAAGGATTTGAAGGTAAATTTTTTGTTGTTTATTTGAGTGAATTTAGAGGTAAGTAAAAATGTATTTTGAAAGTAATTTTTTTTAATTTGTCACATCAATCAAATTCTACACTAATTCTTACAAACTTTATTTTCAAATCTGTTCTCACTTACCTTCAAATCCAATTCAAATAAACAATAAAAAAATTTACCATCAAATCCTCTTAAATTCATTCAATCACTCTCCTCCAAATCCATTCAAGTGAACAAGAGTAAAGATTTGGGGTTGTATTTATGGTAGGCATGTCCATGGATATCTTATATTTAAAGATATGATTATGGTGGTGCGTTTGGTCGTGTTGGTTGAGAAATATTTGAGTTTATTAGAGGTGAAATGATGAAGGTGATCGATGATGAGAGACACTTAACATTATTTTAGGTGAAGCAAAGGCCAGGTAGCACATGCATGCATATATATGCAAATGTGAATGCATGATAAGAATGGACATGCATTAGTGGAGAATACGTAGAATAATGATGTTGTTTGAAATATAATAATGGTGAGAGAAGTAAATAGGCGTTGACTCTTGGACCATCGGATCTTTTCCGGATCCATGGGGATTTTGGGACACATGGGATCTCTTTTGTCTTCTCTTCTCATCTTC